ACTACGGAGAGCCCAGGGGGTATCCCCAAGGGCCCAGGCTTTACTAGCGCAATCGAAAATTCTCTTAGCCATTATTTGAGTGGACAGAGTTGCCCTGCTCCTTGTGTCGTCCTTTGCAGAGACTATTTCCAAAGCATGTACATTCAGATGATCGCCGGTCTTTACCAACGCCTACAGATCCTCCTGATTGGAGCCCCCTTTGCCTATACCCTCATCCACTCCATCGACTTCCTTCGCGAGAACTGGCCTCAACTCGTCCAGGACATCACAACTGGCACTCTCACTGATAAAATCACAGACCAAAACCTACGTGACTCAGTCTCAGACTTACTCAAGAGTTCTAATCCCAGACTAGGAAACTTCATAGCGCATCATTGCTCAAACAGCGAAGACTGGTCAGGTATCGTATAACTAAAATCTGGCCCAACACCAAGTGTCTGAAAACAATTGTGACTGGTTCGATGTCACAGTACATAACGATGCTGGACTATTATAGCGGTGGACTACCAATTGCAAGCATGAGATACGCATGCTCAGAATCTCAGCTTGGGCTCAACCTAAAGCCATTGCGCGATCCTTCGGTATGCAATCCGTCAGAGGTCTCATACACACTACTCCCTAACATGGCCTACATCGAGTTCATACTGCAAAAACCCACAGACGACGATGCTCAGCAAGACATCTTCAACCTCACAAATGTGGAGCTGGGAAACATGTATGAGTTAGTGGTTACTACATTCGCAGGGTTGTATAGATATCGAGTTGGTGATATTTTGCAGATGACCGGATACCACAATACCGTGTGAGTTGTTAATCAGTCCTAGTTAGAATAGAGTTCTAGTTAGAATAGAATACTAGTTAGGATAGTTTTTCTAGTTATTGGATAAGATTAGAGTTGTAATCTTATTCCTATATATATGTAAACAATCTTTGTAAGTAGTAGAACGAAAAATAAGAAAAAAGTGAAAACTCCTCCACCGAAAACTCCTCTCTCTCTGTTTTTTTTTTCGGTTCTGTTCTATTTCCTGCAGCAACACCAGTTTCTGTTTTTTTGTATTTCCTGCAGTTCGGTTGCTACAGTGTTTACAGTTTTTCCAACTCAGTTTCAGATTTGATTCAGGCCGATCCTATTACAAATCCAACAAGTGGTATCAGAGCGGTGTATGCCTAAGATTCAACCGAGATCTGAAGAGATGACGAGTTCGGAGAAGATGACGACCAAGGTGGGTTCTCTCACTCTCCAATACCCGACGCTATCGAGGGATAACTATGCTTCGTGGGCAATCAAGATGAAAGTCTACATGAAGGCTCAAGACGTGTGGGATGCCATTGAGCCCACGGCAGGCGTGTCCGTGGAACACAGGAAGGATCAGATGGCGTTGGCGACCATCTATCAGGGGATTCCTGAAGAGACTTTGATGGTGATTGCAAAAAAGCAAACGGCAAAAGAGGCATGGGAGACGTTGAAAACAATGCACCTAGGAGCGGATCGTGTGAGGAACGCGAAGGTGCAGACCTTGAAGTCCGAGTTCGAACTTCTCCGGATGAAGGAGAATGATAACGTCGACGATTTTTCGACGAAGTTGACAGGAGTCGTCAACAAGATCCGGGCTTTAGGCGGCGAGATGGAGGAGAACTACGTCGTTAGAAAACTACTTCGGGCGGTACCGGAGAGATTTCTTACTATCGTCTCCACGATTGAACAGTTCGGGGACATCGACGATATGACACTCGAGGAGGCGATCGGGCGTCTCAAAGCCCACGAGGAGAGGGCACGTGTTTTTCGAAACAACGTCGACGATCATCTATTGTTGACGCATGCGGAGTGGCAAGCGAGGAGCAAGAAGAACGGCGGAGGCTTCCTCTCAACACCTACAACCAATGATGGCAGCGGACGAGGTCGCGGTCGAGGAGCCGGTCGCGGGCGTGGCCGTGGCCAAAGAGGCCGAGGCGGACAGCAGTACCACGGCAGCGGTGCTTCAATTGCGGAGTATATGGTCACTTTCAGTCGGAGTGTCACAAGCAACGCCGCAATAATGAACAGGAGGCTCATCTTACCCGTGCATATGACGAGGAGCCAACCTTGATGATGGCTATGTCAGAGGAATCGTCAAGTGCCGTTTTGCTTAATGAGGAGAAGGTGATGCCGGATTTACTTACAGTGGGGGAGGCACATGTTGACAACAACACTTGGTACATTGACAACGGAGAAAGCAATCACATGACCGGCCACCGAGACAAGTTCAAGGAGCTCGACGAGAACATCAAGGGAACCGTCAAGTTTGGTGATGGATCCGCGGTAGAGATCAAGGGGAAAGGCTCTATCCTCTTTCAGTGCAACAACGGCGATCAAAGGCTACTACCTGAGGTATACTATATTCCGAGTTTGAAATCTAACATTATTAGCCTTGGTCAGATGACTGAAGATGGGAGTAAGGTTGTTATTGCTGACGAGTTCCTGAGGGTGTTTGATAGGAACGGTGCTCTCTTGATGAGGGTGAAACGTTCTACTAACCGATTGTACAGGATAGAGTTAAAGACTTGTAAGCCGGCGTGCTTGATGGCGAACATTAACGATCCAGCTTGGTTGTGGCACGCTCGCCTTGGGCATGTCAATTTTTACGCCTTCAAGATGATGACTGATAAGAGGATGGCTTCCAGGTTGCCGAAGATCTTGCACCCGAACCAACTATGCGAAGGATGCCTCGTCGCCAAGCAAGCAAGACTGCTGTTCCCTTCACAAGCAAATTTCAGAGCTCAGAAGCCGCTGGAGTTACTACATGCAGATCTATGTGGTCCGATCACCCCATCTACACTTGCTGGGAACAACTACTTCCTTCTTATCGTTGATGATTTCAGCCGATGGATGTGGGTATACATGTTGAAGGCCAAGAGCCAAGCTTGTGAAACCTTCAAGAAGTTCAAAACAGAGGTTGAGAACGCATGTGACCACAAGGTGAAGACATTGAGGACGGATCGTGGTGGCGAGTTCTTGTCAAAGGAGTTCACCAAGTTTTGTGAAGACTACGGCATCAAGCGTCATCTCACTGCACCGTACACCCCGCAGCAAAACGGTGTAGTGGAGAGGCGTAATCGCACGGTGATGGACATGGCGAGGAGCCTACTTAAGAGCATGCATATGCCTGGAACCATGTGGGGCGAAGCGGTTAGGCACGCGGTGTACATCCTCAACCGACTACCAACCAAGGCGTTGTACGACCACACACCCTACGAAGCTTGGTTTGGTAAGAAACCCCATCTAGAACATTTGAGAGTATTTGGATGTGTAGCGCATGTGAAGATTGCAGGTCCTTCTCATAAGAAACTCGACGATCGGAGCACGCCAATGGTGTATATTGGTGTAGAGGAAGGAAGCAAAGCGCATCGCCTCTACGACCCTCAACACGGCAGAATTCATGTCAGCAGAGACGTCATGTTCGAGGAAGGAAAAGAATGGGATTGGAGCACAAACGAAGACGAGAGAGCACCCAGCTAGATGGACATAACAGTGGAAGGCGAAACTGCAGCTGTCGACACAACAACCGGCGCATTCTCTGCAGTCCAAAATGGACAGCAAGCAGACCGATCTGCTGCAGTTTTTCCTGGACAACCTGCTGGCCGAACAGCCCCTGCAGGAAATCGTATCGCAGCGGCGCTGACCGGAGACGACCCTGGACAGCCGGCACACCGAACAGCTCCTGCAGGAGCTGCTGCTGCTGGCACTGCTGCAGGCCAAACACCCGCAAATGTTGGCACTGTTGCAGGCCGAACCAGGGGTAGTTTGCTCGCTGGTCCAGAAACTGCTGCGGAGGCAGCGAACCCCACTGTTTTGGACGCGTTCGGACCCCCTGAAGCTGCAGTTATGACTCCTGTACGCTATCGATCTCTTGCGGACATCTATGCGGAGACGGAGGTGATTGATCTCCCTGCAGAGGAGTTGTTCCTGATCACAGAAGAACCTGCAAACTACATTGAGGCCGCAACAGATCAAGAATGGCGGACTGCCATGGAGAAGGAAATGGAGGCCATCGAGAAGAACAAGACTTGGATACTCACGGAGTTACCGCGGGGTTGCAAACCCATTGGTCTCAAATGGGTATACAAGCTGAAGAAAGACAATGAAGGCAACACTCTCAAGCACAAGGCAAGACTTGTAGCAAAAGGGTACGTCCAGCAGCAAGGCGTGGACTTCGATGAGGTGTTTGCACCTGTGGCGAGGCTTGATACCATCAGAATAATCCTCGCTATATCAGCACAGAACGGGTGGGAGGTGCACCATCTGGATGTGAAGTCGGCATTCCTAAATGGTGATCTCCAGGAAGAAGTGTATGTGGTTCAACCTGAAGGGTTCGTTGTGAAGAATCAAGAGCACAAGGTCTACAAGCTTTCAAAGGCACTCTACGGTCTACGCCAAGCACCTCGGGCATGGAACACGCGCCTCGACAAGTGCATGAAGGGCATCGGATTTGCAAGATGCACTCAGGAGCAGGCGGTATACACAAGGAGTAACAGAGGGGATACACTCATTGTTGGTGTGTACGTTCGCGCAATTTTGAAGCTTCTGGGCAAAGTAAAGCACCTTATGGGAAAGTATAGCACCTTTTGGTCAAAGTATAGCACTATATTGCAAAGTATAGCACTTTATTAGAAAAGTATAGCACCATATTGGCAAAGTATAGCACCTTATGCTTTCTAGAAATTCTGCAGCTTAAGAGCCTAAAATCAAATCAGTTTTTTTCGCCGTGACGAAACCACTCGACGACCTACGTCACGTGTTATTGACCAATCATCCACCGCGACGGAGGGTCCTCGCGCAATTTTGAAGCTTCTGGGCAAAGTATAGCACCTTATGGGAAAGTATAGCACCTTTTGGTCAAAGTATAGCACTATATTGCAAAGTATAGCACTTTATGGGCAAAGTATAGCACCTTATTAGAAAAGTATAGCACCTTATTGGAAAAGTATAGCACTATATTGTAACTAGGATGCAACTGCAGCAGCGTGCCAAGGCTTGTGGTTGAGGAGTTTAATCAGTGAGGTGATTGGGAGTGAGCCCAAGCCGGTCACACTTTTCGTCGACAACAAGTCCGCGATTGCCTTGATGAAAAATCCAGTTTTCCATGGAAGAAGCAAGCATATCGACACACGGTTTCACTTCATTCGTGAGTGTGTTGAGCGAGGACAGATTAAAGTGGAGTTCGTGAGCACGAGCGAGCAGCGAGCGGATATTCTTACGAAGGCACTAGCGAGTGTGAAGTTCATCGAGATGCGGGAGCTTCTAGGAGTAAGGGACTTAGAGTCTAGTCCAGATTAAGGGGGAGAATGTGAGTTGTTAATCAGTCCTAGTTAGAATAGAGTTCTAGTTAGAATAGAATACTAGTTAGGATAGTTTTTCTAGTTATTGGATAAGATTAGAGTTGTAATCTTATTCCTATATATATGTAAACAATCTTTGTAAGTAGTAGAACGAAAAATAAGAAAAAAGTGAAAACTCCTCCACCGAAAACTCCTCTCTCTCTGTTTTTTTTCGGTTCTGTTTCCTGCAGCAACACCAGTTTCTGTTTTTTGTATTTCCTGCAGTTCGGTTGCTACAGTGTTTACAGTTTTTCCAACTCAGTTTCAGATTTGATTCAGGCCGATCCTATTACAAATCCAACATACCGCTCCAAAGTTCAAGTTTGTGGCACGGAAGGGCGCGCTATTGAGCGTCGGTGTAGAAAAGATAACAGAGGCAGAGCTGCAAAAGGCTGTGGAGGACGCATCAGGACTACAGAGATCGTATGGCATGATTGTGGAAGATTACACGAGCTACACGGATGTAGAGACGATGCCTGGACATTATGTGATGTACTTGGAGCTAACGGTACCGAACGGAGAGGCAGGGGAGTCATTAACACTGCTTGATGGTGGTGCTAAAAAGGTGCTAGAAAGATGTTGCTCGGAGATGGAGGATGGATTCAACGAACTGTATAAGAACTTACGGATGAACGGAAAAGTTGGGACATTGGAGATTAGGGTTGTTAGGGGTGGCACATTTGCGGAGCTGATGGATTCTGCGGTTTCAAGAGGCGCATCCATCGCTCAATACAAGGTTCCCCGGTGCATTAGGGTTCCATATATGCTTGACATCCTCAATCGTAGGGTAGTGTCGTCATATTTCAGTCTAGCTTCTCCTCCTCAATGGGAACCTTACAAGTCTATATGTTGAGCGGCATTGAAATATTATTGGTTTATCGATCAATTTCCTGCGAAAAGTCCGTTAAGTGCTACTGCTTCACTATACTGTGAGAAGTATTGAGTTGTTAGGTGAGAGAATAAGGGTGTTTGGGAGAATAAGAGAGTTTATGTACAAGCACTGTGCATGTGCTCGCACGGTTGGGTGTGGTTTTTTTCTTTATTATTGTATATCTAATTTGATTGTTCTTTGTGACCTTTTTCGGTTATACTCATCATGCTTCTAAATTAAAAATTGAAATGTACTAAGAATTTCTTAGTTATATCGATCACTTATCCTCCGATAACTTTCATCAGAAAGCCTCAATTATTTGTTTGTATGTTGAAGTTTTATAGGGGGCTATTTGTAATATTTGAACTACTTGTTTTTTTTAATAATTTTGTAGTTTTTATGATTTTCTTGCAATCTATAGACATTTCAGAGAGTTTTTTTTTTGCAATTTTTTAGATTACGGTTGTTGTTTGCAATTTTTTGAATTTTTAGGTGGTTATTTATAATTTTCATATTTTTCAAGGATTTGTTTGTAGTTTTTTAGGGAGTTGTCTATATATTTTCGAATTTAAAGGGAATTGCTTATAATTTTTAGATTTTCCAAGGGATCGTTTGTAAATTTTTATTTTAATGGGGTCATTTGTAATTTTATATTTTTTTAGGTGTTGTTTATAATTTTGTGGTTTAATCTATAAATACGAATGATTTGAGAAGCAGATTAGCTTTGAGAAATAATATTCATCAGTATACAATTATGGCATAATAATGTTATGTCGATTAACTATAAAACTTCAAAACTTTTTGGAGGTTTTCTAAACTTTCCTAACTTATTAAAGGTTTGAAAAAGTTTTGGGACCTAGTATCAAGCGACAAACACTACTACAAAAGGCCTTACTAGCAACATTTATTTGATTAATTGTTGCTAATAAAGGCTACTAGTAATGGTTATGATAATAATTAATTCCAGGTTCTCATTAAAAACGGTTCATCTTTTCATTTGTAAATTAAATTAATTAAACTATCAAATCTGTTTTGAAATAGAACGGAGGAAATGAAAATTTGGGCGCACTAAGAAGTTAGAAAGTCTAAAAAATTGGGCGACTCCTTCCTTCTCCTCTCTCATTCTCTAACGCTCAAACCCTAACGCTGGAATCCCCACCGCGTATTGCCTTTTCTCTTCTCAATTGCATCATATCAAACGAGCTTCCATTAAGTGCCAAGATTGTGCTCAACAAAAATCCAAAGCCAAAGAGCGGCGGCGACCTGAGGACAATCACGACGGCGTCGGTGGTGACGACGATGTGGCGGCGAGCTT